TGTGTGTGTGTGTGTGTGTGTGTGCCTGCTCTGTCTTCTCGATCCCCAGTGTGTCGAGGAGGATGGCTGCTTATACTGAGCCAGGATTCTCTGGAGGTTTCTTCCTGTTAAAATGGAGTTTTCCTCTCCACTGTCACTAAATGCTTGCTTAGTATGAGGATTGCTGTGAAGTCACTGACACTAGTCAGTGACTTGATGCAATTTGCTGGGTTCCTCATATAGGAAACATTATTTCTGATTGGCTTAATGAACTGACCTGTATTGGAATATTTATTATGTGAAGCGCCTTGAGACGACTCTTGCCGTGATTTGGCGCTATATAAATAAACTTGAATTGAATTGAATTGAAGGCCAGGGTGTGACAAACTGTTAAAGGTGGAAGCCAAATTTACCAACATCCCTTCTTTTCCTACCTTTTATTTCCCTCTCCACATCCTCCTGATTGTCCTTCCCTTACCCCTTTGCCACTGTCTCTAAGCCCAGATGTGTTATGAATTTATGTGCAGATAAGCAGATCCATCATTCTGTCACGAAGGCTGGGATGGGAGGTGGACTGTGGAATGCCCTGGCACAAAGAGCAGAGAAGGGCTCGTGCAAAGTGCTGTGCTCCCTCGCACATTCCCTGCTGCGCCTGCTCCCGTCCTCTACGGCTCAGCCTTCCTGTCTGCTTTCATGATCTGTGCAACGCCCCAACAAACCACACTCATCCATTTATTTTTTACATGCACCAACCAAACCAACCCAAGTCACCAAAATGTGTCAAAACATGACAGCGAGCTCAACAAAACAAACAAACAAAAGGAACAAAGAAATATGTGTGTGTAGGAAGATGGGTTCAGAGACAAATGGAGAATAGGAAAAGGACCACAAGCTGTGGTTCTATCTATTCTGGCAAAGTCTGAATATTCTCAGTACATCCTTGAAAATGAGTGGTGCGCCAACAATCTTCTTTGTTGTTTTCTTCTTGTCCAACAAGGACTCTAGACGCTCAGACTAGCATAACCAGTAGCTCAGGTTGGCATTAGCAGTAACCAGGGCTGGCATTAGCAGTAGCTCGAGCTAGCATTAGCGGAGCTTAAATTAGTGTTAGCAGTAGCCAGGGCTGGCGTTAGCAGTAGCTCGAGCTAGCATTTGCAGTAGCTTGAGCCAGCATTAGCAGTACCCAGGGCTGGCATAGCAGTAGCTTGAGCCAGCATTAGCAGTAGCCAGGGCTGGCAATAGCAGCAGCTTGAGCCAGCATTAGCAGTAGCTTGAGCCAGCATTAGCGGTAGCCAGGGCTGGCATTAGCAGCTCGAGCTAACATTAGCAGCAGCTTAAGCTAGCGTTAGCAGTAGCTAGGGCTGGCATTAGCAGTAGCTTGAGCCAGCATTAGCAGTAGCCAGGGCTGGTGTTAGCAGTAACTTGAGCCAGCATTTGCAGTAGCCAGGCATAGCTTGGGCCAGCAGTAGCAGTAGCCAGGGCTGGCATTAGCAGTAGCTTGAGCCAGCATTAGCAGTAGCTTGAGCCAACATCAGCAGTAGCCAGGGCTGGCATTAGCAGTAGCTCGAGCTAGCAGTAGCAGTAGCTAGGGCTGGCATTAGCAGTAGCTTGAGCCAGTATTAGCAGTAGCCAGGGCTGGTGTTAGCAGTAGCTTGAGGCAGCATTAGCAGTAACCAGGGCTGGCATTTGCAGTAGCTCGAGCCAGCATTAGCAGTAGCAAGGACTGGTGTTAGTAGTAGCTTGAGCCAGCATTAGCAGTAGCCAGGGCTGGCATTTGCAGTAGCTTGAGCCAGCATTAGCAGTAGCCAGGGCTGGCAGTAGCAGTGTCTTGGGCTATTTTCACAACTATTGTTGCTAACTGACACTGATCCATGTGTCTTTCAATGGGGAGCCTAAGTCACACCCATCTACTTCTGGACCATTGGTCACTGGAAGAACAAAAAAAAATGAATGCAAGTCAGTGGGGCTTAAAATGCTATTTTCTAATTCCGCTTGTTTTATATCATGGGTTTATCGATGTCCATGAATTTTGAAGACGCATTTTTGATACCAAGAAAGCGCTTATTTTTGAACGGGGTAAAACAGTATCATATGTGTGAAAATAAGTCCAGGACTGCTTCATGAAAGTGAAGTCATCGAAAATTGTAAGTCGCTTTGGATAAAAGCGTCTGCTAAGTGAATAAACATAAACATAAACATATGTTTGATCCATGCCGTGAGGCTGAAATTAGCCCCATTCACTTGCATTCATTTTTTCGTTCTTTCGGGGACGCATGAGCCAACCGGCAGGGGAGGAGACATAGGTTCCCTATAGGGCTTTTGATCGTGACGCCATCACTGTCGTGGCCGCCCTGGTGGCAGCCTACGAGTCCTTATTTGTTGCTTGTTACCACTGACAACAGTGCTCAGTCTCATTCTTGCGGCTTAAATTAATCTATTATTCATTTGATCGGTTATTTTGTGCAACTATTTTAAATTGTGGCTATGCTGTGGGGTGCAACACAAGATCGCCAGGGGATTAAAGATGGAAAATCAGCTAATTTCTCACCGTTTTCCTGCTTGGAGGCACAGCCACGAGACCAAGTATCTAGCATAACAAAGTCTCATCAGCTCGCTTGGATCGCAGCTGAAAGACGAACAAACATCACCTGCCGGAGTATTTTTATTCTAGTAAGTTACAGACGGTGTATGTTTTTTTTTTATATATCATTAATTTCCTTCAACCACGACATGCACACAGGTTGCTACACACACTCTTGTTTACTGATGAAAACTAATTTCTCATCTTCTTTTCCCCAGACTTCGAAAACAAACAAAACAAAATCAGTTGTTTTCTCCCAACATTTCTGTTATTTTAAATGTTGTGCAGCATTAAGTGATAAAACACAAACATGTTTGTCACATGTCCACCAGGGCTGACTGAGACACTGATGGGCAGAGCCGGTGGACCTCCTGAGGCATGCTGCAGCAGACAAAAAGGCGTCGATGAATGGTTTCCAATCAGTTGCTGGTCTTGAACCGAAAGCTAAAAAGTGATGTTGCTGGGACAGTTGTAGATCATTGTCAAACAAAACATCTATGCTTGAACTGAATTCAAAGTTATTTCTGACTGAATTTATAGGTTGTGGCAAGAGAGAACAAACACGACCAGTGTGGCTAGAACAGCATCTGCCTCATCTTAAGTTGTTTTGATGTCTAAAGTGATGTAAGTTGTGTTCGCGTTGTTTTATCGACAACAGAAAACTCGAAGTACCTGTTTAGTCCAAACAAATGTTTGCAGAAATATGGAATGTAAATTTTAGAGTAAAAGTCAGATTTTATGACAAATAATAATGTTAGAATGAATTTTGAGAAAATTGATTAATAAATATTTAGAAATATATATATATATATATATATATATATATATATATATATATATATATATATATATATATATATATATATATATATAATGTTACTGTGGCGTGCTCAGGACGCAGATGTCTGGAGCGCGTCAACGATCAGAGCCTTGCATGTGCAAGCTGGTTAAGGTTAGGATGGGGTGAGGGGAAGGTTAAATTGCAAGAGGGAAAAGGTCACAATTTCGTTGAATGTCCGTTTTACGGCAGGTGTCAGTACCGACGCTCTGGCACAGCGCGTCGCCTCCGCCTCGATCCAGACGCGCAGGGGCTCGTCACCTGCTGTCTTTTCCGAGGACTGCATCTTGTCATTATCACGTGACAGCGACTAGTCGATGGCAGGCATAAAAAGTCACTACAGAGCAGTGAGGTCGACTAGTCGACTAGTTCATACAACCCCTAGTAAACCAATGGATCTTTTCTAAGGATATATGAGGAACCTAGAGAGGAACATTGGTTAAATAAACACACAACCATACTGTATGAGGGACTCTGAGATATTAGATAGGGGTTCTTTACACCATGCTTTTATTTTGGTAGGCTGTTACTCTTTTGTGACTGTCTAAATTGACATGTTACCTACACATTTAGCTAAGAATGCTAAAATTTAATTTCAGATTTCAACATTTAGATGCATCTTTTAATATTTTTATGGAGCAGGACTTTGGATTTGCCTAAAACATTTCTTAATGAATCCACGTTCTTGTGATTATTGTTGAGTTTGGATCCCAGCGACAGTCTCACGTCACCCAAAGTTGATCTGAAGCCTTCATGATAAAAGCTGGTACTGCTGGCCGAACCGTAATAATAGACTAAAGTCAAACTGACTCACTGTTCTGCTCCAGTTCAACCATTTTAACAGAGTTTAGACAATATGTGGGCGTTGCCGAACACAGCCTCAAAAAATACAGCTAGCTTAAATTAAAGCCAACTCTGAATTATCATGGCAGGTTTAATTAGGAACAAACAAAAGGAACAAAGACCAGCTGTTAGCAGTCTGCAGCAGAGCTCCTAAAACTGGATTTGTGTTACTTTTCTAACTTCTCCGTCCACTCCGTTTTCCCACCTCCTTCTATCCTGGTTGATTTCTGACTTTTTTTTTTCTTCTTCTCTCGTCTTCGAGAGGAGCCGTGTGGTGGGGAGTGTGTTGTCTCAGTGCCAGGGCAAAAATAGACAGTAAATTACAGAGCCTTCAGAGAACACCCCACCATGCAGCGTGACCTCAAAATAACACAGACGGACATAAAGTCACATACAAATGTGGAATACACAGCGTGCTGCCCTACTTCTGTTTCTCAGTCTGCCTTTTGATGTAACGGTCAGGCAGATTTACTTTTTGCAGTGTGCCAACCAGCGGTCCTGCAAAGGAAACTTTGAGTCTCGTTCACAGATGTTTGAGTGATTACGGCCCCTTACACACTTAGGAATGACTTCAGGCAAGTCCTATGCCAAGCCTTAACTCAGCTACTTCTCTATTGAACATCAGACTGCTGTTAAACTAGAAACTCCTGATGAATTCTGCTGTAACTGCGGTAAGCTCACATTCTGAGTCTAACTCCAGACAATCGTCATTTTCTCTGCCGCTGATGAGCGGTTGTCGTGGGTGTTTATTATACTCACCTTGAGTGAGTCAAAGCAAGCAATGACTCTGCCATTTTCCACTTGGCAGCTCTTGGCGGGGTGGGCAAACTTGCACTCGCTGTCCGGCCGCGAGCACGTTCCTCTCTGGAATTCTCGACACACTTCCAGCGTCAGCCACTTTGTGTCCCGGATCGGTGTCACATTCACCGCCATTTCTAACCAACCAGGAGGGGTGGATTAGGAAAAGGAGGTGTCCAGCAGTTGCGTGCAAGTCCGTTTTTAACTAATAACACTGTGACGGAGGCTGAACAGGGAGGGATTAGGGACATGGGGGGAAACAAAAAGCCCGACTTCAGTGGTTCTGTCCCAAGGTTCTGTGAGGCCTCAGACTTGCCTACCACCTGCCGCCCATCCCAAGAGTGTGTTTGTGGCTTTAGCAGGAATTCCTCAGAGCCTCAAACCCGGTGCCTCGGCTGCTGGCGACCACCAAGCTCTGTTTTGTAATCTCTGGTTTATAAAAACACGCGTGCACCCATCACACCACGCCCGTTCTCTCAGTATGCCCGCTTGTCAGCTGAACTGTCAGATGAGACAAAGAGCAAAGCACATTATCGATCAGGCCTGGCCCATGATGAAAGGACGCAGGACTGAGGGAAGGAAGGGAGTAGAGGCGGGTAGTCTGGTGGAGGGGACGGCAATGAAACAATTTCCTTCCGCTCAGAGGAGCCGATAAAAGCTGTTTGTCTTCGGTATCAGGATCTGTCTGCTGAGAAGGAGGAAGCGTTCGGCCTCCGCAGCGGAGGCTTGAAGGGCATGGATACGGAGAGGTCTGGCCACAGAGCAGGTGGGTGGGGGTGGGGAGGAGGCGCGCGTCACTGGTGTGGGGACAGCCTCAGTGGATGCGGCTGGCAGTCACGGCCGTCCTGGTGCTCCTGTTGAGGCTGGCAGCTCCAGCAGACGTGGACGGGTGCAGGAGGCTTCAGCAGAGCCAAACAGCCACGAGGGTCAGCAAATGAAGGCACTTCTCTCTGCAGAGGAGCCGAGAAGAATGTCAGCAGAGCAGCAATTCACACAAGGCACAGACAAAAAATAGCATGCACTCAACTTTTAAACATGCTCTCTATTTATTCTTGTATAATCTCCTCACAGGAAGTGGACAAAGAGACAGAAAAAGACAAACAGGGGAATTTTAAATGACGGACATTCTATGTGGGTAAATAGGATTATTAATGCCATAAATATTGAAAATAAAAAGTTGTGAAGGATATGTGAGCTCATCTATGGTGAGATTAAGTCTGGACCAATCAGCTGCCTAGATGGCTCCAGCATCATCACTGGCTTGTGGCCAGGTAAGATGGCAACATATTGATTGGATGAGATCATCGCGGAAGGCAGAAAACATGAAGCCAAACTCGTTTAAATGTTTTAAGCCGCTCATGAAGTGACCTCTAAAGAGCAACAGGAAATGTGGCTCACATCTGAGCTCTGGATCCTCCGGTTCAGCTCAACAATCCACCAGAGGTCCCAGGTCTAAACTAGGAGCCAAGCTTAAGACATTACTTTACATCTAAATTGACTTCTTATCCACGTAATTTTTTCTTTTTCTTAAATAATCTAAGAGTTAGGGTTGTCATCGTAACCGGTGTAGCGGTAGAATTTGGTCTAGTTCACTAGGCTAGTAAACCTCGGTAAAAAGTTGACAATAATAATAACCGTCTTGTTTTTTTTTTTTAAATTATCTCGGTGGATTACCGTTGCTGCGGTGTAGGCGCTGTGACCCTTACCAGCCACCAGCCAAATTTTGTGATAGGAACAAATTCACTCACATACTTTGCATATTATGACATCATCAGGTGGCAGCCATATTGGATTGCATCACATTTGCAGATTTTTGTTGTATTTTTTGTTTTTGTCTTATTTTCTTAGTGTTGTTATTATTTATGATACATATATACATATTCCTATGTAAACATATTTAACTATATATATATAACTATATATAACTATATATAATATTTATTACTTTATTGGTATTTTGTTATGTTTACTGCGTATCAATCAAGAACACTGTTTTTGGTGCTTCAGTGTCATGAACACATTTCACTCATCCCTTCTTGGGTTTATTTTGCTTATTATATATATATATATATATATATATATATATATATATATATAATCCTCAATCTCAAGCTTTTCCACAAGCCCCATGCAGAACTGAATGGCAATGAACGCTTTCTTGGACAGTTACATCGTACCAGTCATTATATCTGTAGCTAGATTTCAGTTCCTCCCTCTCTAAATACTGGTGAGCATATCGGTTAGTTTCAGTTGTGGTGAGGGTCCAGAATTCCTCATCCAAAAAAACTGACACAAAATCAATGTGTTCTGAATTTGACAGATCCCTGTCTCCACAGTATCCAACTGGCTCATCAAAATGCCTGATCCACTTGGAATACTGTTCCTCTTCTCCCAAACTAACCCAGCCATCATTATTATGGTCACTGAGGCTGTGTTGGGCCACCCCCCTGCTAGCAGTGATTTTTTTCCTGCGGTTCCTCCCCCTCCTGCTGCATTTCCCGCGGTTTACACCCCCGGGGCTGAATCGATCACCAGCGGAGTTTTCACCAGCCTGATCACTGCCGTAATAAAGCTGATGGTGTGTCAAAATTGCCCTGCAAGGTAGTTTGATATTTCAGTTCTTCGGGGTCTGATAATTGATGCTTAATCTTAACAAATACAGAATATAAGAAGCGACCACAGCAGGTATAACTATATCTGGTTTTCACACACAGCTCACATATCTGCTCACTCAACAATATGCATTAAAGGTGGGGGCGAATCTTGAGCTGTGAACACCTGATGGTCGTGTTTTTGTTCGCTATGCTAACTGTGCCCACAGTTAGGAAAAGCCAGTAGCTTAACGCCTACTGGTAGTCATGACGTCGGGCTAACTGTTAAAGCAGGCTGCTGTGTGTGAGTGCACCAACAGTTTCATGTTTAAATGCTGCAAGATAACAGACAAGTGGAAATGTTTTGTTCATTTAGATGCAGTTTCCACCCCAGCTTCAAAGCTGCATTAAGTTTTGTAGAACCAAACCATCCAGTCAACGGGGCGTGCAGTTACAGCAGCTGCTCGCTCGGGGCACTTTTGCTCTGAACAGGATCTAAATGAAGCTCCAAACACAAAGAAGAACGCCCAGCCCTGGTCAGACCTCGGCCCAATCCCAATACTCGCTCTTGCACCCTCGCGCCCTTCAATTGCACGTTCCCGGACAGGAGTGCGAGTGCGTAGGGTGTCCCGATTCTCAAGTGCGGAAGTTGACCACGCCCTCATTGCACCCTTAATCTGCACTCCAACCAAGGCTGCAGTGATGCGGACCTCAGGCAAGGGCATTACCCACAAGTCATTGCTGCAGGAGAAAAGGCTCAAGTATATGTATTTGCTAATGAAATTAGTTAATTTTAGGACGATTAGTTGATGCTCTAAAACTTTTAGACAAAGCAGCAATAAATGTAAATTCATTTTTTCAAATAACTGTTTGGCTGTTTGTTTAAAGGTTGTTAATAAAGGTTTTTGAAAAAAGTATCACAGCGACCAGCATCCCGGCATGTGTTGCAATCGATGACGCAATGCCCCGTCTCATTTTTGTAATTATTTACACACTTGTATACTACACACTCGAACCCTACTGTGCACTTTCTCCAAGTGCTCTTTGCTGATGACCGCAGTGCGAGTATTGAGATTGGGCCTAAATCCATCGTCCTCACTCTGCCTGTTTACAAGAGCAAACAGGGAAGCCACAAGCTACTGAGAAGTTCTACTCCTCTGACCTGAGCAGGACTGCTCCACGTTCACCAATGAGATGTTTGATTGTTTACTTCTGCTTCTTTGGGCCAGCTCCTTTCTCTCTCTCATGTCTTCTCTTTGCTGCTGCTCAAATTCAGTTTGCTTTCACTCTGAGGAAACTGCACCAGGGTTCAGGTGCAAGTGAACTGGGACTTGCGTTTTCAGACCAGAGTAGAGTCCACATGTTTGGTCCACACCAGAGTTCAGTGAACCTTCACATCTACCCAAACAAGGCTGCCAATCTGAAGGAGCAATCTCTGATCTGGACCAAGCGGTGCTGGTGCGGAAAATGTCCCAACTGATGACAACATGTCAGTGTTCTAATCTTCTACGTACACACGGGGAAAACACCTGTGTTGATCATTTGAATGAAATCTGTAAACAGATTGTTTGGTTGAGTTTTTTTTTTATGTTTTATCTTCACAAATAACTCAAGCCTGGAGGATTCTGCCATGCGGTGGAGTTGCTAATGCTAACAGTTAGCTTCTACTAGCTATGTCCGCTGCTGTTTGCAGGACGCTAAACCAGCTACAGCCGTGCCCTTCACCAGCCAAGATGGATGAGTTCATGACCACTAAGTGACAGTGTGACTTAGATCTGTCAGGTTTTTCTAATCTGCACATTTCCGTGTCTATTTTCTATCAGAAGCTGCAGGAAACGGGGTAGAAGACTTTTTTCACATTTAGCACTCATAACTCAGAGTGGTCGATCATATAAAAAAATTACAAGTAAAAACTGTTTGAATAAAGTTTGGAGTAGTTAGGATTAAATATCACAATTATGTAAAAGTTGAAGGTCCCAAAAATAACTACATTATTTTTTACTCTCCCGTCAAAACAAAGTTACAAAGGTTTAAAGTGTGGATGTTTTCAGTTATGTTTCTAACTAGGAAATTACAAGTCATCCATAATCTCAATCAGAGCCAAAGAAGTGTAAAACATTATATATTAATCACTTTTTTAATCAACTAAATTACTTTAGAACACAATCAACTTAGAATTTTACTGACTTGGTTCATGAAATTTTATTTTTTTCATCATTCTGCAATGTGACTTGTGAAAATGCAAAAAATAAAATAAAATAAAAATAAAAAGATGGTTTAAGGACAATAATGAGTGAAAAAAGGGCAGAACAAATAAAAATGCTACTTGGTTTAACATTGATTGCATTTTTGCCCCAATCTTGTCTCATTTGGGGCCAGCCACTCTCTGAACTACTTTTCCAATCTGAAGCTGGTATTTTGGGCAGGGGGTGATGCTATACACACACACACACACACACACACACACACACACACACACACACACACACACACACACACACACACACACACACACACACACTTGGACAGGATTCTTCTAGCAAAAAAAGAACACCAATAATAAAAGAACACCGAAGGAGAATATCACTGCCCACACCTTAAATATAAAATTAATAAATGAAAGATCTGATTTTCCTTTTTTGTTTCTCTCATCCTGGTTTGTTCTGTTTCATGTTAAATCACTAAAACTCAAAAACAGAAAAGTTTCAAGGGCAATGGCAAAACTTTTAATTTTAAAACTCATTTATTCAAGCCATTTCAACCATTTCAGGTCTTTAATTTGATATTTTTAGAAAAATGATAGCACTGGTATTCAGGGGAGGATTAAGGTGTACAGGGGCCCATAGGCTACACTTGTTCGGAACCAAAAATGCTTGATCGCAGCGAAATATTCTTATCCTATATTCTTATTCTTATCTGCAGATGTTTATCTTATTTTGGGCTGTTAAACAACAAAAATGTTAATCTAATTAATCATAGGGTATTTGTGAATTAACCATGATTTACCAGTATTTTCTGGCATTTTCATCCATTTCACCCCAACAGCAGGATCCGCGTTTAAGTTAGCATCCACCATCAGCGTCACCTGGCTAGGACCTTCTGCCGGGCTCCCATCAGAAACTACTTGAAGCAGGTCTGCCTCTGCCCCCAAGTGGACAATATCAGCTTCTCTGTGACTGCTCGTTCCCTCCTTTGAGCTAGCATCATGAACCTCTGTCGCTCCAGCTAGCATAGCTCCGCAGCCTCCATCGTGAACGTCTTGTTTTTCTATAACCTGCTGTTGGGTCCAGCAGCAGGTTTAAAATATCCTGACAATTTTGGGATTTTCCGCAGAAGATTTTTGTGATTTTGTTCTTTGA